AATTGCCAAGATAAGAGTTTACACGATTAGTGGCCTAATTTTGTGAGCAACTTTGTCTGTTGTGGGACTCACATCCGTTGAGTCGAAGTAGTCTTTACACGGTAATTAGATGGCAGCTAATCCACGCACACGTATAATTTAACCGTATAACTGTTTCAGTCTTGAACTGACAGTTGGGGCTGTAACTTTTTCCTCAACGGTCGCAGAAAGACAATAAGCACATGGTTGAAAAGAGAATTGAAAKAGCTTTCTAATGGCGTGGGGGAGTACKGMGTACGACGAATATTGACTGATATTCGTTTACGTATATATTGAATTGCTAATGTACGGTTTAAACCGTGCTTTTTTGCTTGGCCCACGCTATACGATATGTGTGGAGGGGGAGTGTCCCCAATTACTCTGTCTGGAGGGTGAGACAAACCTAATGCTGGTGTTTTTTTTTTCTGACTAGTAAAAACTGCGCGTTTTTATAGTACTCATAACCTATCTTGGATTCAATCCACACATCATTAGGGTTTGTACCTCATACCCTACTAACCGTTTGGACGCACCTAGCATRGGTTCTCTCCTAGTAGGGGTCAGCAACGCAACATTATTTGAGTGTTTCAAGGCTGCACTAGGATTAAAATTTTTGCAACGGTGCAACAATGCTACACTCTAATACTACTAGTAGTACCTCTGTCCAGATACAATACAAGTAGCTAGTACTACTACCTAGTACACTATGTACCTCGCTCCTATTCAGTTGAAATAAGCTCAATATTTGGGTGATTGAATTGCTTCTTTTTTTGTAATAGATTAAGAGTCATATGACTTGTTGTACCGTTCAAAAGTACATCATCATGATACTACAAATTTGTAAACATTTGATTCCCACACTATTCCATTGGCTCCTATCATTAAATTTACAATGCTATCATTAGTTTAGAGCACAGTACAAAATATAAGAAACTAGTTCTCAAATATTCTGGTGGCATTGGCCACCCAATTCTGCTTCTTTCTCAACAGGCATGGTGTCAGTTGTAAAACATGTTGAAAATGGGGAGCAGTAATGTGCAGCATGCTGGAGCTCTGTGAATTTGTACTGAAAAATTAAGGATGGCATCATTAACTTAACAACGGGAACCAATCAATATCATCTTGGATCCTCATACTCTGAGATCTAGTGGGGGCCAATGTTAGTTCTGAGGTACAAGGATGATTTTTAAGCAGTTCCATCTTTCAGCACAACTGTTTTCTTGATTGATTGAAGTGTGTACCTTGGATTTCCTCCACAGCACCATGCAGTATCACGAATGCAACAAACAATCAAATAAGCAGAATACAGGTTACCACCTGGCTGAACACTTTAGAATTTGAACCTATGGGTCTGCTATACAGGACACACCCCAAGCTGATTTCCATGGATAGCTTGTTAGTATTTTCTACTGATGTGGCAAGTTATTTGTGCGTTGTATACAACCGAACAATTAAAATCTGATTGTAAAATAAGAGCACTTCTCAGTGAACGAGCTAGACGACTTCTTCAAAAACCAGTCACAAAAAAAAACTACTTTCACTTCTTAAAGCTCGTATTGTTCGAGAGCAACTTCTTCTATTGCCTCCTTACCAGCTTCCCCGTTGTGGCAAATAAAGACTTCTTCCCCATGTTCGTTATTGTTGATAATGACTTCTTCTATTTCTTCTTCGCTCTGTTCGTTGTCGTCGAGAATCACCTCTTCGATTTCTATTATCTCTTCTTCCTCGACTGTTTCATCATCCACGGACTCAATGCTATATTCGTCGTTCCGATGTTTGCTTCCTCTTACGTCTCTTTTGCGAGTGCCAGTTTCATCGTCAACATCGTTCAAGAGAACCCGATACTCTTCCTCCTCTTCGAGGTCGTCGTCGAATCGTTCTTCCATTTCTGTTTCGGATTCTTTGATGGTCAGTTCCTCTTCGTCATTGTTTCCCATAACTTCTTCTGTAAGTTCGCAAAGATCTTCCTCCCCATCACTTAATATGGTATCCTCGTTGATGAAACGACGTCCTGTTATAATTCTAAGTTGCCGTTGTTCTTGCGGACGCTGGTCCATTGATATGTTGGAAGATGCAAACGTAATTTCTATCCTTCGCTCGGTATCATCGTTATTGAAATATTGCTTTTCCTCCTCTTCGCCATCTGTGTTGGTGTCCTTTGTGTCACCGCCATCACTGTCGTCATCGGGTGTTTCATTGTCACTCAGACTGGAAACAGTTCCCATCGATACCAGGTCTTTCAGGGAAAAGAAGGATTGCTGGGTTCGCTGGCTGTGATTGGTGAGCAACGGGAAGCTGGCGCGATTTGCCTCCTCGTATTTCCCCTTAGTGTTGTTGTAACAATTATTACAATTGTTATCGAGTCCATTAAGAACCACATTATCCGAAAAATGAAACGACGAGGAGCAGTCACTTATAGAAACGTCGTCATCGTCGGAGGAAATGATTTCCGTGTCGGAATAATACGTCATTTCGGTATAGGATGAGAGGCCAGAATTCACGCTATTGCTAGTTATCAAGGGTGATAATTGTTGCTGTCGCTGCGTTCGCGGTTTCCCTCTGGTGCCAACAGAAATTCGTCGAGCTCGCCTGTATTGGTGTGCGTGGTACGAGGGGCTGCTAGCAGTATTTGTTCGAGCATTGCCGTTGTTGTTTGAGATGTTGTTTTGATTACTGCCACGTGTCCCCTCCTGCTCGATCCCCGAAAAGGACATGGAGAGGCGTTGATTACTGGACCTTCTTCGTCGAGATATATTTGTGTTAGTATTACTGGCGTTGAGACCCACCATACGATTGCTTGGCCTTTTGCTGACCCTATCAGACTCTATTTCTCTACAGTTGCTCGGCCCTATATCACCTTTTGGAGAATAAACTCCATTTTGAAGGTGACAAGGCAACATTTGATCCAGAGACGGTGATCCTGTATTATTATTGGCAACATCGTTGTCGCAATCGCCAGGTTTTTGGGTTTCGTCATTCATCACGAAGGCTCCTCCTCTTGTGAATGTTTATGGGCAGGGCTTTTTCTCGCTTGAAACTGCAAGTACGGTACGGTTTGGGGAAACCCGAGAATGAAGGTCGAACGACGACTTGTGCTGTACGACGACGTGCTTTGGAGAGGGTGAAGCGTGGGATGGGTTTTCTGAATTCAGTGTTTTCAACTTTTCCGGCTTTCTACCCTGCCGTTTTGCCGCTAGGCTATTCTTCCTACGAGTACTCCTACCAGCACCGGCGCTCTGTGTTATCGAGCGTGCTGAGTGGTYGCTCGCGATGTATGATCTCGTTCATAGCACTGAAAAGCACCTCCCAAAACTCATCTTCTAAAAACAACGAGCACCACCACAAGAATTGTGACTCGAAATGAATAAGAAAGAATCAGCGCGCACCTCTAAAAACCTTGAAACTTAACAATATTGCCCTTACCAGTACATTCATTATTGTGACGGGAGCTTATTATTGRGTCATTCCCGTTGATCCAGATTGACTAGTACTAGAAGGGACAGACTGCCGGCCCTACCGGTATGCCAGTCTTWTGGAGAATTTGGAATCTTCACTGCCGGTACTACTAGTACTAGATCTGTACTAGAATAATGTCAAAAAAAGGGGTTTACAGTACTACCATGCGTACTACTATTACTAGTATCTGCAGAAAACACAGTTGAGGACTCTGAGCTGGTACTGCTACTACTGCTACTAGTACTACTASTACTAGTACTACTACTACAACTACTAGTATGTGGTTTGTAGTAACAACAATTGAATACACCAGCCGTGGGAGTGCAACAAGAAGTGCTCTCCAGTTAAGACTTGAAGCGTTAGTAAAACAAAGTTAAGAACTTGTTTGAATTGAAGTTGTCAACTTGCAGCCAAAGTTGGCAACTATTCTAGGTAGGCCTATGTAGAATTAGTAGTACTAGTACTAGCTCCGCTAGTAGGGCACACCGGCAGGCCCAGCAGCAGCTGATCCAGCAGATCTGCAAGCTGCTCAACGAGAAGCAAAATGGATCTAGTATTTGGAGATTTGTAGTACAAAAGCTGTGTAGAAATGCTGTAGAAAACTGTGGATCAAGGGGGTACACTGCTCATTTTGCTCAAAATGGATGGGTGATTGCACATTCAAAATTGTACTGAGGAGGCCTAGTAGTACTGGTAGTATGCTGGCCTGCCTAAACTTCCCTCCAGCATGCTAGAACTGTTCTTTATTTCATTCAATAAAAAACTTGGAGCAAAGCAACTGACCATGGGAATAGCTGTATTTCAAGGACTTTCATTCAACCTCAGACACTGTGCTTGGTGGTATCACTGGATACTAGATCTCTTTAATTGCTGATTGAACAAGCCTTGAACTGTAGCAAACAAGCTAGTAGTGTAAACCATTTTATTGCATGTTCATTATAGCTTCTTTTTCTGACTGCTTCTTTGTCATTGTCAACAATAAGCAATTAGCATGACTATTGATCCAGCAGATACAAAGATCAGAGCCAGTGCTGGTCTTTCTAGATTAACACAGTAAAGAATAGCTGAGAGGCCTGTTCATCCTTCTCTTGGAGGGAGTGAAGGCTATCCTGTCTTCTTTAGGGAACTGGAATTGCAAAAGAAGGCTGCTGGCCTTCCTACTTCTTCTGCTAGTCAGCCTTCTCTTTCAATATGGAGTAGATGCCTTGATCCATATAGAAAGACAGGCAACAGAGATCAAAGCAAGCTTGTTGGACCAGACCTCTACCTTCTTGCTACAGGTATCACTATCAATCCTTCTGCCAGCTTTGATGAGTTGGCAACATTCATTTACAATGAGGGGGGGGGGATCTATTCCAGAGTAGATATCTCCAGGCGGATGAGGGGAATGGGTTTGACAAGGAAGAGGAAGTTCACTGAAGCCTATCAGGCCTTTACCCCCAGGAACTTGATAAGATACAAGTTTTTTTGGATGCGTCCTTTCCCCCTTGGAGTGGTGTGGATACAAAGGAGGAAGTTTATAGATGTGGATGAGTTTGCTTTCAACATGCAAATGACCAATTGCAAGTATGGATGGGAGATCACAAGCACCAGGAGGGTTAGACAAAGAGGATACTACAAGAAGAGGACTGAGAATCTGACTGTCTTGCTAGCTAGTAYAGAGCCAAGGGATCCCTGGCTGGTGCCTCCAGAGACTAGAGGAAGTAATCAAAATCCAAGAAGGAGATGGATTGAGGTCCTTAGAACAGCAGGCATATCAGCTTGGTCCTTTGCTCAGCTCATTGATGAGATCTGCACTGATACCGAGCAGTATCCAGTGCCTGGGGATACTGATACTCACTAGGTCTTCCTTTGGGACAATCTTGGAGYTCACTTGACTGGTGTGGTAGCTCAAGTGCTTCATGACAGACCAGCTGGAGGAGGGACCCACTTCATATCTATCCCTTGTCCTCCATACCAACCCAAGCATGTTCCTATCAAGTACAAGATCTATGATCTATTTGGGGATGTGAGCAAGATGGCAAGGCCGCATTGGACCATGGTAGATCAATTTTAGATATACTGTAGTAGTGCATCTAGAATSTAGTCAGTTTACTAATTTCAGCATGCAACAGCTGCTCTGTTTGTACAAAAGAGACAGTCAGGCATCCTAAAGGTAGAGAAAGAAGAGGAAAAGAACCACCACTAGAGGAATTGATGSGCTCAGCATTTGAATCAATGCTTTCAGTAATCAGCATCAATADAAAAGACAAGACAAGCCAGCAGCAATCAATCAGAGAAGATATCACCACCATAGTTAAAACCAGCAGTGCTCTGGTGGCTGCCRGGCAAGCCACCAGGACTAGCCTTCTTTGCAGCAGTGATTGGCTTTTTGCTGCTCAAGCAGAACGCTTGACCACACACTTGAGGCCCAAACCCAAGCCCAAGTCGCTGCCTACTGCTGGGCACTTCAAGCCAGTACTACTAGTTGCTTGGCACTTCTAGCTCTTACTTCTTGCAGGRAGCTTTGAGCTATCAATTGCAACAGCATCCTTTCCCCTCTTAGGAGAGAGCTMAAGCCTCTGTACAAACTTTGCCATGGATTCAGTGGCCTGCTCCACATTGGGGCAAAGGTTCTCCATTTCCTTTGCCCTTTTCTTCAGTGTCATGGCGTCTGCACTAGTGTCCTCAGCAGTGAGCTGTACAGACAGTAGATCCAGGGCCTTTTGCTTGGAAGCAGAATGAGTACCAAGAACAGASTGTTTGATAGATTCCTTCCTGATCTCCTGATCAAACAAAAGAGTAGCTACAACAGATGAGCCCTTGCAGGGCTTTGGCAAGGGAGGAAGCTTAAACTCAGACTTGATAGCTAGGCTTGGGCTTCACCTCCACCTTGCCTGTGCWATAAAAGCTGGAGAGGAAGCCTGAGCTATCACTGTTGCTATCAAGAATACTAATAGGATGMAAGCTGGAGGACCCTTTCGTGCTGTATGATCTCTTCTTGGAAACTGCGGATACCTGAGCTGGAGGAGGCATCACTGCAGCAGCTGCTGGAGGTGGATGCGCCACACTACCACTGGTTGTAGCCACAAGCTTAGTGGCAAGAGGTGGACCAGCACAGGTGTTCAAAGGTGGTGTAGTGGAAGCACCCAATCCTCTATTCCTACTGAACCAAGTATCCTGATCGTTATGTAGCAGGTCCATGTCTCACACCAGTACTAGGGGCCTGTTGCTGTAGGGGCTTGTTGCTGTTGGGGGC